TGCTTGAGGGTCAAGAACTCCTGAACCAACCGTTCCCTCTCCACCTGGGGAACGTACTCGTCTCTGAACATAGCAGTAAACCTCTCCCAAGTCACAGCTGAAACCTCTGCCAGAGTGAAGTTCGCCGTCACGAACTTCCACCAATCCTTTGCTCCCAGGCGGAGCTGGTTCAAGGCGAACCGTACCCTCAGATGCTCCGGTTATGAACAAGTGTAGAAGCATCCCTCGATATCAGCAATCCATCTCATCGCAACGATCGGATCCTGCGTCCCGTCAAACTCAGGTGGTTTTCGTGTTGCTGAACTCCCGGAACAGTAACGAGTCACCTCCCTGTGGTTTGGTAGCGGCCATAGTTGCGGTAGTTGCAGCGGCTACGGCCTCAGTCCACGCGGCGTACCGCTCATCAAATGTCTCCATCAACGTGGTCTTAATAGACCCAAACATCTCCGGAATCTCAGCCCGGATCGCTGCAGCTACCTCCTTATGAATCATTTGACGAAGCTCCTCGTCAATCACACTACTCGTACCAGGTTTGTGGCGTGGTCCAACCATGATGTCTCCGAAATACAACATAAAAATATCAGAGACTCTATCGAGCATAATCGCACTCGATAATGCAGTCCTACTCAGTCTCCGATACCCAGGGATTCTTACTTGGGTTGCCCACTGACCCGGTGTCTTTAGTAGTATGGGCCCAATACTACCAACTACACCGCGTTAGGATTCACCCCAAGTCCTCCTCCCCAAACCCCGGATTCTGAGTACTCTATTCTTGCCATGCACTAATTACCCACTCGCTCTCAAAGCACCTCATAGAAGCAGGTTTCCCTAGACTAAGGCATCACAAATCAGGCCACTCTAGTCCTAATATGAATACCTAGTCTACTAGCATGTATATCATATCATATCATATCTCATAACACATATTGTAAGAGTATTTTGGGGATTTTACCGTTCGGGCGCTGGATGACCGTACACACTCCTTCTTCTTTAGTTGTTTCAAAAATCACTTATCAAATTTTATTGATTTATTAATTAAAATTTTCTCAAATCCCCGGTTTAAGTTCAGTTACGCCTAAAGGTGTACCCGAATCACTCAAATCAAGGCTATGATACCAACTTGTAACGACGTAAATTTTAAAACCAATTTTTCATTTTTACAAACATCAAAAACATCGAGTAATAATTTAGATTCCAATGTAAACAATATTGTCACGACCGATTACATAACAAAGATCACAAAAATAGTTTCCCCCGAGTGTGTGTACGATCACGCCGGCGCCTTCCCACGGTCCTCGCTAGTACCTAAAAACACATAACACAACAACTGTAAGCATAAATACTTAGTGAGTTCCCCAAAATACAACCTACGCACATATGCCTTTCCAGGCCCTGACCTTCCGGTCCATGTGTCTCAGGGGACTTCCGTCCCGACTGGGTAAACCTTCCGGTCCTACCACGAAAACCTTACGGTCCATTTTACAACGCCTTCCGGCCCATAACATAATGCCTTCCGGCCCATATCAAGCATATCATACATGGCACATATAACGATTAACTTATCACACATAATGCATATATCTCATCTCATATTCGACCTTCCGGTCACACAGTCAAACCCTTCCGGGTACACTATAGTGAGAAGACTCACCTCATATATCTCGATAACTCGCGAACCCTGGAAATTACTCGTGCTCGAACCCCCGATCTATAATCCTCCTATAACATCATATATCTCTAATTAATACTTGTACCACTAAGGTTGACCATCCCTATCAAGTCAACACTGGTCAACTCTGGTCAACAGTCAATGGTCAATTTGACCGGACTCGGCGAGTGCACTAGAGCGACTCAGCGAGTCTAAGCGTTTTCACCAACTCGCAAGGATTTCCCTTTGACACGTCAAGTACTCCCCTGACTCGACGAGTTCCACCTGGTCATGAATCGCAGGGCCACCGCGACTCAACTCGCCGAGTCGCAAGGACAACTCGGTGAGTTCCAGCTCAACTCAGTCCACCTGTCAATCCCTCTCTAACTCCCCGTGACTCACTGAGTCAACCATAACTCGGCAGGACCACTCACTAAGTGGTTAAGGACAATCTTCATGCTACTCGCCGAGTCTGTTCTTCAGACTCGGCGAGTCCATGCCATGCATCGATTGAAACTTGCTTATGAGGTCAGATCCGCTCCATAAACTCATAGATCTGGCCCTCCTAAGCTCATTTATCACGTAAAGTCACAGTCTTGGCCACCATGCAACACTTACAAGGTTCTTTTTGGAGAAATGACCACTAATATGGCAGCCCTAGCCTCCAACCCAAAAGGAAGGACATAAAGCATATCATTTGGGACTTTCTGGACCTGCTAAGGTCCAGATCTAGGTACCATATCTCCATGGGACCTCTCACACTTAAATTACAAAGCAAATAAGGCAAGAAGAAACCCTAGATTTGACCATATCAACATAAACACGGAAATTAGGTCTGAAAGATACCTCAAGAAGCTTCCCTTGGCGAAATGGAAGTAGATCCAAGCTCCCAACTCTTCTAGCTTGACTTTCCCCCTTCCTTTCTTGCAAAAACACACAAATTTGGTGAACAATAGCCTCTTATCTCACTCACAGGAGCTCTCAGCTGCTTTGGTGCTCTCAAGGATCAAGGTGGCCGCAATGAAGGGCTATAATATCCTTTAAATAGAGCTTAGGAATGGAAAATTAGGGTTTCATCAAACAGCACGGACTCGCCGAGTCCAGGCGCGAACCCGCGTCCAGAACCGCGACCCTACTCGGCGAGTTCGAGCTCCAACTCGCCGAGTCCCCTCACAAAACACCAAAAATATGCGAATAAAATATACTTGGAAAAATCCGGGCTGTTACAAGCCTTAATGTTCAAAACTTAGATCCAAGCTAAAAAAAGTGTCTTAAGCTATAAAGTTGCAAATTTTATGCTCTTGCATGCCTTAATGATACTCAAACCATGAATTAAGCCTTATATCCTTATATGATAGGATGTTGTAGTAGTGGTATGCTGGTTAGAGTGCTAGTAGACTATTCATCATCTACTAGAGTTCCATAGGGGTTGTATGGAGTCATATAAGATTGCCTGAGAACTCTTGATCTAGGTTTTCTTGTATGTTTCTTGTTTGGTTGTGGCTCTAGAGTAGGATCATCTATTTGGGTGGCTATCTTACCTATGCTTACTTATGGCTACACATTCATTGAGGTTAGCTGGTGGGGGGACAATGTGATGGGAGAGGACTAGTAGGCGGTAATGAGTTGTATGAGTGATGTTTACCTGTATCATGTAACTACTTGATCCATGATTGTTAGTATGTCGATATATTGAGGTAGTGGGTTGAGGCGATCCTGTTTTTTGCTATAAGCCAAGACTCCTGGTGCAGGTCGGCTGTAAGCCGTAGGCACGAAGGCTCCAGGAAAAGCGGTTGGGTTGAGACAATAGGCCAACAAACCCTGGGTATCCCTGTCCGATGACTGATTGGATCTGTTGCATGTTGGCGTTCCAGTCCGATAACTGGTTGGGCCTAGGCATTCCAGTCTGATGATTCTGGGCCATTATGCATGCTTGTATCTTTATCGTATGGAGAATTTTGGGGAAAAGTCACTAAACTTTGTGCTTACCTAGTTGTTTATGTTTTTTTTCTAGGTTTTATCGGTGGTCATGGGAAGACGAAGGCGGGACTGTACACGCTCATCAACAACACTGAGGATTCCGCGTTTCTTATATTACTTTGATTTTCAATAAATGAATTTTGGAATAAACAATTTTCTTAATAATGGAGTTATAATTAGGATGTTTTACTTTAATAAAATGAAAATTTTTGGTTGTGAAAACGGGACATTACAAAAACATGTGACTCCATGTAAAGAAAATTTTTCATCTTCATGTTCCGAAACATCTCAAATTAGGACGTTCGATGACAATTTTATTTGTTTCTTTAACGTACCTCAATGTGCTGTCGAATCTGAAGCAAAGGCAACTTACAATCAAGAAGACGAATTACTGAACCTCTTAATGATGTTGAAGTTTATGTCAAGGGGGAGATTGTTTCTTATTAAAATAATCATGTTTAGGGGGAGAGTGCTTCTTAATATGAATGATCAGAGTGGAGGAGGAGAGTGTTCCTACTCTTATTACTCCTACTGATGAAGATCAAGTTGTTTCGATTACACAATCTTGTGAAGGTGAACCAGTTTAATATGAAATACCAAATGATGATAGCTGGTAGGGGTGAGCGCAGTGCGGTTCGGTGCGGTTATTAGCCAAAACCTCACCACTAACCGCAAATGCGGTTAATCCATTTTTAAAACCGCTTGGTGCGGTTATTTTAGCAGTGCGGTTAGGCGGTTATTTTTGCGGTGCAGTTTTGTTTTGTTTTGTTTTGTTTTTTTTGTTGCGGTTATTAACCGCATGGATTTGGTGCGGTTCTTTTGTGTGGTTTTTAACCACAATTTAGAGCCCAAACAGTTTTAAAAGTTCAAACATATTACTTGTAATGATAAAAAAATACCATAAGGTATAAGACAATTAACTTAAATCACAAACAAACAATATCTTAAAAACGTAAAATCAATAGTAATTAACAATAAATATCTTAAGCTTGTCTAATTTCACCATTTTTCAAAGTTAAATATAACAAAAAACCAACTCTTTTGTCCTCTAGTATTTTATTTATCTTTCATCCATGAAACTTATCTTATTTTTAATATTTAACTAGATTCGTTACCCCCGCTTCGCGAGGGGCAGGGGGGTCGGTTGTAGTTTGTGTATAGTGTATCTCGTACTTGGTTAATGGAGCGGATGATTATATAACGGAGCTGGTTTAAAAGATGTTATTCATTTCAAACAGTGATAAAACATAAGAAGATTACATCATAAGCATCAAACGATATCATTCATTACTTAGTGTTTGATTACAAAAGTGTCCATTCATTAAGAGATAGGTATTGGACATTTGATTACAAAAGAGTTGGATTTGTTTCTTTATGGGACTTGGTGGTCGTTGATGATTTTCTTGCAGATCTCGGTTGCTGAAGCCATGTTCTCTTGCATTGCCTGGAAGATGTCGAGCATGATCACCGTGTCTTGATCCAGGTCGTTGATGAAGGTTTTGGTGACGACGACATGTCTATATGGCATTTCCTTTGGAGATTCGTTTATCATGTCTTGCCTTGTTTGGTTGATGAAGGCGAAAGTGTTTTGGACCGCAGCAAGTGCTTCCTGCATTGTGTCGAGTTGGTTTTGCAGTTTCTTCATGATGGTCTCCATCTTCTGTGATTCGTGTTTGGTGGAAGGATGATCAATATGGGGTGGTTTTTTTATAGTTGAGGATTTTGGTTGTTGGACTGCATTTATTGGAACTCATTAATAAGTTTTCTGATTTGTTATAGATATAGGATGACGACTACCGAAAATTTTCCTTTATTAGATGGATTTGATTGTTTGGCGCAGGTGTGATATTAAATGGGATCTATATGGGGAGATCTTTGACCAGTGGCGATATCCTTGTTTTGGAAAAGGGGAAATTTTGCTATTCAGAATTGATATATGTGCTTTATTCAGGAATTTTTTTTATATATTTATGGTTTTATCTATAGAATAATTTCGGGTAATATTCAAGTGTATTGAGTTATGTAATTTTTGTCTGATTTGGTATGATATTAAATATGTATATGTCATTGTATTCATAGTACTAGATATTGTCGGGTGCATGTTTGGAAACGTAATCTATCTTTAAATAACTATATATGGTTACTTGTTTTGTGAAATTATGAGTGTGTCGAGGTATGCAAACGATGTTTCTTTATTATTGTTTATATTAAATAGGATACTTGTTACTTTTGTTTACTACAAAGGGAAAATTAGTAACCGAATTACATAGGATACTTGTTACTATTGTTTACTACAAAGGGAAAGTTGGTATCTGAATGGGAAGTGGGACTTGACGGTCTTCTTTTTTGTTGGTTGTTATTTCGTGGTTTTTTTTCCAGAAATGTTGTTGTTGGTGGGCCTGTCATAGAAGAATTTAGAAGGTATTAGTAATGTTTTTTTTAGTTTGGTGTTTATTTTTGAAATCATAACATTTTCTTTTACCTGCCGGAGTAAAGTTCAGGGTGCGGACGGCAGGACGTGCGAAATCACTTGCCTCAGGTGTTTCATTATCCGATCGGATTCTTTTCGTCAGTGTTTGTGCGGGTGTTGTTGGAACGGGTGTCTCCGGTGGTGTAGTTGACTGTTGGATGTTGATTATTATGAAACGGATATTGTCAGGAGTTGATGCCCTCAGCATTTGGATACACATGGTGTTGGTTTGCTCCTTTTGGTCGGTCATGATTGAAGGCAAGGTGTTTCTGTTAGTCAGTGGGTTGTCGGATATGAATTATTCGAGCGATGATTTTAATAGCTTACGACATGATGTTTCAGACAATATTGCGGGTATGGTATCCGTTGTGCCGACTATTGTAACGGTTAGTTCGTATCTATACACATGAAGAATATGTAAATAGTATGATCATTGAATAGTGGTTTGTTTGTGTGATTTCGAAAATGCTTACATGTAGGCAGGCTTTTCTATTAGTCCATGTGCACTGCAATACCATTGGGGGCCTCTTCTGAAAATTGGATCTTTGCAGATTGGACATGTTGTTTGGTACCAAGTGTTTTGGAAGTGATATTCCTTGATTGAGGCGTTCACTATGAAAGTTTTTTCCTATAAATATAAGGTAACCGAAAGTGACAATCTTAAATGGACTGTATTAGTAAACACCAATAGTATTGTTATTGAATTACCAACAGCTCGGATTTGGTTTTCAGTTTTATTTGGTGTAAGGTTGTAGGCGACCCCGATAACGTAGGCATTGGCCTTGAGGGTCCTGTAAATATGTAATTCTATTGTTGTTGGTATACAATTTCATTGATATATATCGTATAAAAGTTTGGTAATTTATGTGACTAACAAATCTACGAAAGTTGTTGTCTCCGGTATATCAGGGTTGACATAATGATAGCTTCATTTTATTTACTTCTTCTTATAGTTTTTTAGCACATTCCATCTTATTTTAGTCAATCTTCATGCATATTTTCTCTTTTTGTCAGTTTTATCCTTCACCGAGTGCTTTCTAGTCTTTTGAGCTTAATTGCAGGATTTTCCGAAGACTATTTGTTATTGGAGGCTTAAAGGATGCGAGACTCATGGAGGCATATGATTTGCTTGCGGACTTGAAGTGGTGCGATTAGGCTAGGTGCTTGCGTAAAAGAAGAAATTAATTCGGATCTAATTTATGGGCAAAGATGATGATGAGACGGCGCGAAATCGAACTACAAGAAAATTTGAGGAGTATTGGGTCAATCATTAGAAGGCTTTGGAGTGGAAAATGGGTCTTAAAGATTTATGATTATGGGCTAAAGTTGAAGAAATGAAGATTGGGCTTAAATGCATGTTAAATGGCCCAAGTTTCACATTCAGCGTGACCCACGCGGTCCGCGTGAATTGTGTTGAGCTGTTTCTGGGTTTTGACTTGTTGACTCTATTTGTGGAAGTTTGGTGGGTAACTTTTGGTCTCTTTTTGAATCCGGAAATTAGCCCTCTTTAGCTGAGGATTGGAGGCTCATTTGAGGGGGGAGACTTGAAGAACATATTCCATTTTTCTCTCTAAGAAGCTTTGGGAAGATTTGAAGAATATTTGGAAGATTAGTGTAATTTCCTCTTATCTTGCATCTAAGACAATGTTTGGTATCTCTAATCCCTTTTGTTTTTGTTTAATCTTAGCTATGCTTGGCTAGATTTTCATTTGGTTGACGTGGATGTAGTTGCTTGCATGTTTTGGTTATTTTGAAGAACTCCATGAACTTGTGTTGAATATCTATGATTATATTTTCTATGAAAACTTCCTTCATGTTTATATATCTGTAGTCATGAATATTGATATATGAATGTTATCTTTGTTGGTTAAATTCTTGACTAAGTAATGGGTCTTCAATTTAACAAGCAACAATTAGTTTAAATGTTTGTTTTCATTTCATTTAGACTAAGAAAATATTTTCTCCATAGTGGTAATGGAAGCAATAGATTACTCTTTGGATTTGGTGACTCTTAAAACCCAATGCTAATTGATTTTCACAAAATTACATGCTTCATTAGTTTTGTGACTTTGATTTAGGAAATGTGTTATGAGCTTCTCTAGTCATTTTAATACAAAAGAAGAGTTGAGGCAAGTTATGCTTATAAATTGTTATAGCCAAATTAGATTATAAACACAAGTATTGCACCTTGGTATTCTCATTATTATTTAACCAAATGTTCAAGTAATGAAAGTCTAAAGTCAACCATTTTTCCCTTATTGATTTTACATCAAACTCTTATTTTTGTTGCAATTGTCTATTTAAATCATAGTTAATTCTAGTTTGTCTCAAGTATTTCAAAACATCAAAACCCCCATTTTTAATTTATTGTCATATTCCAAGTATTTTTACAAAGAGATTTTTCATAGAGTTATAAATTGAACCAATCTCCGTGGATTCGACCCCTTTACCACTATACATTATTTTAGTGTGTATTATTTAGGGTTATTATTTTTGTTGGCCTCGACAACCACCACATAGATATGCATTGCATGTGATGATCCGTGTCGTAGAACTCCTACACCGATGATATTTTGTAGTTAAGGGTATTAGGAGATGTGGTGTGATAGTGGTGATGCACATACACATATGCATATATATATATATATATATACACACACACACACACACACATACATATATATATATATATATAAGTTTGCAGAATATGATACCATAGGATTTTGACGATTTTAGGTTAGTCACCGCAACGACAATTGTTGCAGATAGGTGATTTAGGGAGGCACGGTCGAATTTCTGCGTATTTGTTATGTATTCCTTCCATAGATTAATCGCGAGTTCACTGTCACTAATAGAAAAAGAAATTGTATGTGGTTAGTTAGGGATGATGGAATTTATGAGTGTATTTTAGTGGTTAATATATATACCTTTCGTCACTTAGTATAAGCAATACAAATGGTTCTCCATTTGATTTTGTGCAATCCCTTATCTTCGAGAGAATGCCAATGAAGTCTGTTTGTAAGTAATTACATAAGCTGTTGTGAGGGTTAACAACTTTGAGAGTCTAGGAAATCAATGGAACAAAGCGTAGTAAGTAAATTTTTTAAGGATAGAAGTGGTTATTTATGGTGTAGAGTGTATCCCTGTATCCGTTGGTAAGTTATCAACTTCTGTCAGTTTTCATATCAAAGGAATATATTCAGCCAATTAGGAAAAAATTATAAATGTTGGTAATTTAGTAGTAAAAATAGGGTCAATATTCTATACAGGTAATGTGTAGTACATATTTCTATTTAAGTTATATGGATAACATAGAGAAAACTTGGATAGTATGGTGGTGCTTCTCCAAGTTCAATCAGTTGTGACTTTGATACAAAACAAAACCAGGTTTTTGGAATTGTGATTGTGTCTGGAATTCGCTGTATGCTGGACTTCAGACCAACGTCAATATAGATATCGTTTTCTAGAACCTTTTGATACCTGTCTAATTTGGGGCAACTATAGTCCGATATAATATAACATTGTGTAACATTGAAAACAGATTCAATGTAGGTCTGGTTTGTTCGCTGTCCAAGAATTTGGATTGCATCCGCCTGTAGAAAGATATTATCTTTATATTAAATTCAATAACATTGCTTGTGTTTTTGTTTTTGTATATGTGCATCATCTGTTAAGAAAACGTGTTTATTTGGGCAAGGTACCAGTTGGTTTTTCTATGTGAACTTACATATTTGTTGACAACCAGGTACCAAGTTTCGTATTGGCGGATATCGTGTTTCCATTTGCGTAGTATTCTAACCTGTAAGGGGCCTCCAATACCCTCAACTTTTAGTTCAGAAATTATCATCATTTGCTGTTTGTGTTTCTAATATAAAAAAAATATACATGTAAGGTCTATATTTTGAGTGCCAATATAAAATAGAAAAAAAAATAAGTTGGGATTCTGTAAATGAAATATTGTATATGAATAAAACGAAAAGCAGTAATCTTGTTTAAAAGCTGGACAGGGAGTGATACTGTAGACCTCTGATGAAGTAACTTTTTGTAGTAAATCTCTGTAAACAACATTTTTTGTTTCGTTTGATCTACAACAGTCAGCGTTGTTAAGCAGTATTCTTATCGAATTCGGTGATGTTGCTCGGGAGAGGGCAACATAAAGTTGGCCATGCGCAAAAACGGGCTGTGACAAATAGATTCCAATCTTACGTAGTGATTGACCCTGACTCTTATTAATGGTCATTGCGTAACAGACTTTAACTGGAAACTGTTTACGTGAGAAGACGAACGGTAAATCTGATGAATTGTGTATAAAGTTTATGCGTGGTATATACACACGTTTTCCGATCGAGGTGCTCGTTATGATTGTTGCTTCAATGACGGTCGGTAATAGTTGTGAAACAATCAATCTGGTACCGTTGCATAAACCTTCTTTATGAATTATGTTTCTTAAAAGCATTATTGGGCAGTCGATCTTAAGTAAAAGCTCATGGGGTGGGATTCCTGGGAAAGTTAGTTGGTTTAGATATTCGATTGGATAGAGGTATTCAAATCTGATGTGTGTTTTCCATTGGGTTGCATCGAGTCATTACTATTGTATACCCTTGCAAGTGTACTGACCAATTTCAGAACTTGACAGTTTATCTCGTCCGTTGCATCGTTTGTGGGACAAACTATTGCTCTTGCTGAAAGTTGTGATGCAGTCGGCTGATTAAGTGTGTCGTCCCCATACACAAAATCTATTAAGGTTTGTAATGAATTTGGCGATGGTGATATTAGGAGTGAAGGTGGGATCTGTATCCAGCTTGAGTCTCGTGGGTCATCCTTGTCAGGCACTCCAATATGGCCATCTCCAATATCCGGGATCCATGCGGCAAAGTCAGATAAATTCATTGAGGAGTGGGGTACTGTGTTAGATGGTTCAAGTCTCATGTTCGTATGCAGAAAATGAATTTTAAAATATGGTCATAAATACGAACTCGGTAGACTCAACCCTATAATTTCTGAATGTGTGCTTCTTGGTACAACGGGTAGATTTTGACGGAAATCACCACCAATAAGGACCAATATTCATCCAAATGGTTGTTCTTCACAGTCTAACACATCTATAAGTGAGCGGTCCAAATACTCAAAACATCTTCTATCACTCATTGGTGCTTCGTCCCATAGTATGAGTGTTGTTTGTTGTAAAAGATCGCCAAGGAAGGTACTTTTTTGATATCACATGATTTTTTGTTCTTTAAATCAATCAGTATTTTGATTGAATGTGCGGTTGTACCGGGCGGTAAAAGAAGCGATGCTATTCCGGACGCAACGACAGCCAAAGCGATATTACCAATAGATCTCAAATGGGAAAGAATGGTCGTCCATAGGAACGTTTTACCAGTCCCACCGTGCCCATAGACAAATATTAGTACATGTCTGTTGTTGTCAATGGAAGAGACAACATTGTTGTACACTAATCTTTGATGGTGATTTAGCTTTCGTATAAGGTTATTGTGTTGTTGCCGTAGCTGTTCCTTATCATAGCTCATCTCTTCCAATAAGAGACGATTTCGTAGAACACCAGTCACATCCAGTGACGGAACAGGAAGACCAAAGTCACTCATTGATTTGGATGGCACAGCGGACTGGAGCATGTCATATAAATCACGAAGTAATTGTTATTCAACAATCCCAGCCAAAGACGTGACTGTCTTGTCTGTTACCTTAGCACTTAGTGGATTGCTAACCTTACAGAAAATGAGTAGGTGACAGAAAAGCGAGCGTAGTTGTGATGCGGTAGCCCACATTGCAGCTTCTGTAAAACACGTTAACCACTCAACATCATCACCTATTAATTGAAGTGCATTACAGGCAACTCTAAAAGTTGGATACACAATTCCAGCTACAATACGCAAATCCTTAAAAGACGTACATCCTTTCTGGTGACACAACAACATCCGTAAATAGAACAGCTCTCCAGAGGTAGGGTGTACAAATACAAGGCGACCTACCATTTTTGATGATTCATAGACTCTCTAATCCCAGGATTTACTTGACTTATCCCATTTGTACTTTTTTGGATAATCCAGGTATGTCAAATCATGACCCTTAGTGTCCCTTGAATTGCTTTCGAACCAACCAAGGAGGGTAGTAGTGCTCGCATTAGGATTAGATAACACCTAAGGTATGGAACTGTCCCCATTAAAGACGATTTGTTGCATATTTTCTTCATGAATCGTAAGAACCTGAACCGGTGGATATCGACGATGTATGTGAAAATCTAATATCCGCCACGCTGCCTCATGTGGATAGATATACCGGCCATCCACATAATTTTGTACCTCATTTATTGGACGACAATCATGATTCGTCCCTCTCTGATGAATGGCAGTAGGCAATGAGGTAGATGCAATATCGGTATTTCCCTGTTTTTGGATGGTATATTTTACACGATTTGCACCTTTGGAAATGTACTTAAACAGATACTTAATCAACATGCTCCATCCACAATACTCAACATTTATATGTGCACGGAACCGTGAACATAGTCTTTTGTTGTATGGTACAATGTATCCATTATCAAGAATCTGTCCAAATTGAGTAGTGTGGTGTGCAGTTGGATTGCGTTTGTAATGTACGTATCCATCTGTGTCAAAAAAAGTTGCATCGAGAAACGGTTTAGGAAAGTGTTTATTACATTTTCCTTCCTTCATACATGCTGCCTTTTGGTTAAGTGGTCCGCATGGACCGTGGATCATACAAGTTGTTATGGTATTGTACAAATTTGACTCATTAACTGGATCCGGTAGCTCGGCAGTTATATAGTTATCAACGTCGCTTGCATTTTTTATACGGTCCTTTGTTGATACCCACAGTAATGTATGACAATGTGGAAGGCCTCTTTTTTGGAATTCAATAGTGTAAAGATCTGCAATAGTGTAGATTTAAAATAGATAATGAAATTTGGATATATATATATATATATATATATATATATATATATACAAAGGAAAATGAAACAAATAATACATATCTGTAACAACAGATAAAAGGATAAGATATATATACAGATGTACATTTCAAACTAGTAACAAAACTGGTAAGCAGATAAAAACTGGTTTACGTATGAAATTTTGTTTAAAAAACCACCTGTTATATTTTTATAAATAAATGATAACAGGGATAATTTTCGAAGTACATACAACAAATTTAAATGGCTGAAGTAAACATAATCCGTTCAACATAAAGGTATATATGAGACAACAGATATTGAAAATCAAATACAATTTTGTTTACCTAACCAAATGAAAATAATGAAGAAAGCATAAACCACTCAATAGGAACATATGTTCCAGAATAAAATAGTGAAAAGTAAATAAAGTTTATTTCGATTAATAGCCATAAAACAATGATATTCCAAAAATACCCCTGCAGTATGTATGTGTGTTTCTGTGTTCTAATCTGTACATAAAGAAGAAGGTTATGGGATGAAATACGTAAGCTGACAACAGAAATGTATAATGGGTAGAGCGGGGAACAGAACATCTAATAATAAAAATGGATAACCAGGTTTTATGGAACAAACAAATAACACATAAAAAGGTAAGATATATATACACGTATAGGTTCGAAATTAGTTTTTAAACTGGTCAACAGATATATGTGAGTTCACGTATGAAATTTCGGGTAAAAAACCACGTCTTATATTAATCTGCTCAATAAGGAGGTATAAGGTATATTTAACAAAAAAAATGCAAAAGTAAATAACGTTTACTTCAGTTAAAAAGCATAAAAGACTCATATTCCAAAACTACCCCTGCAGTATGTATGTGTGTTTGTGTCTTTTAGTTTGTACCAAAAGAGGAAGGTTATGCAATGAAATGCGTGAGGTGATAACATAAATGTATAATAAATAGAGGGTGAAAAAAACATCTCTTTTAAAAAAAAAATTATAATACATATGACTGAAACAACATACAACAAATTTTAATTGTTGAATCCAACGGAATCTGCTCAATAACGAGCTATATATCATACAAAAAATATTGGAAATCATTTACTTACCTAACAAAATGAAAATGATAAAGAATGCAGAAACACGTCAATAAGAAGATATATTTAACAAAAAGAAAAACAAAAACTAAATAAGATTTCTTTCAGTGAAAAACCATAAAACAGTCATATTCGAAAATGGTAACGTGCATATTAGTACAGGCCTGTTAATCCAGAAGGGAACAACATATACGGGGAAAAAGTACAGGTGTTCAATGTAGATACATTTAAAATAAAAAAACCATGTGGTTTCCTCTGTGAGAAATAATATTATTACATTATAGAAATGTATTATTCTAATGACACACCTGCAGTGTGAATGTGGTTTTTTATGGTTGATGTACAAAAAATATCAGGATTCCAAGACAAATTATCAAATTAAAAATCCATAAAACAGAAGAGGTACATGTTATATGACTAATGGAAATGAAAGGAACAATAGGTTAAATACAGTTTCTCTGCTTAAGGAAACATACAACATTCACGAAATAATAACCATTGAAGTAAGCAACAAAAAGTACAATATAAAAGAAAATTAATAATTTTTTCATAAGACAGTGTTGTTAGAAATAAATCCTTGAACTGTATATATGTGTTTGTATGCTTCAGGTTGTAAATAAAGAAGAATTGCATGAGATAAAAAATGTGGGTTTATAACGGAATTAGACTGTGAGGATAGGGGCAATCAATCTGCCAGAAAAGAACCTTTTTATCATGTAAAATAACACGACACAGGGTTATTGAGAATTATTTTTTTATAAAATTAAATAATAGTACATTTAATAACTAAAAATATAGATTTCAATTATATATATATATATATATATATATATATATATATATATATATATATATATATAAATTAACTACATAAGTCATAAAGATCCTGCAAACAGACGAATGTATTAATGATAAAGTAAATTTCATAATAAAGAAACAACGGGTATCAGGATATGTAACCATATGTAGTAAAAAAGAATTGAAAAAAAGGTAAACAGAATGTGTACAATGGAAATTATTGTGTGTAACAAAACGAATTTTATCTAGAAGATACCAATACATACAGAATCAGAATACAAAATCCAGATGGAAACATTAGTAAAAAAGAACTTAAAATAAGTTAAACAAAATGTGTACACTGGAAATTAATGAATATAATAAAACGAATTTTATATAAAAGATACTAATATATACAAAATCAGCATACAAATTCCAGATGGAAACATCACATACATAATTTTTTTTTTTTTGATAAAATACAAATAAAAGCGGATGTAATTAAAAAGAGTAGCCAAGTGGGGTACACACATGCTTCAACATCGCCAAAGGTTTTGTCCTCTTTAAGAAACTGGATGAATTCACAAACTTTTATATTGAACACTCGACTTATTATGTCTGCTCTACTATGCGTATCGGTTTGGTGATGTGTATCCATATACCGGGTGATCTTTGGCCATTTGACATTGCATATAAAGGTGATAAAGTACTGTGGATTCCCATACACTCTACATATGGATAAAGCGTCTAGATAATGACTGTACATGAAACGGGGACCTCCAGTGAATGATGCTGGCAAAAAAATCCGTTTTCCAATAGACCCTGCATCTCTATCACCCTTAGAAAGCGCATCGTACAGGCCACTCACATAATCCGAACGAAGATTTGATTGATGTCTGACAATGTAATCCAAACGACTTTCCTCTATACACGTATACACATCTACCAGATATTGCTGAAAGAGACGTGATGAGCTGATAATTGGAGACCATATATGCTGGCGGGCATGGATATGATATGCGTAATACATATTCACGGTTAGATTCTGAGCATTTGCACCTCTCTGATTCGCAAGCTTCAAACGGGGAGACCAACCTTCCTCACCAAAAGGGAACAAAAGCGGGTATTGCAGAGGCATGTACCTGGGATGTAGCTTACTGATACGTTGTGGATGACCCTGGTGCGAGTGAATAATTATGTCATATGTGGTAGATATTGTATCATCCCCAGTTACTATACATCCTAACGACCCAGGTAAAGGTAGGTCATATATACGATCCTGAATGTGATTGAATAATCAGACAACATACGATTCCAAATCCATTTCTTCAGCCATCTGCTTTGCATTCTTAAAGGTTCGAACATATTCATTACTTTCAGCTAAAACCCGGCTCAGATAGTTAATAACAGTTGAATCCAAAGTTGTTGGTCTGGGACCGTCAAAAGCCCTCAATCGATTTTCAACTTCGTGATCTATATCAACTAAGTAAAGTTGCAAAAACCTCGGTCCTTTTACAGGGTCAGGCGCGAAGGACCCAATTTTGTGACTGGTCTGTTCGGAGACCTTAAAAACATATGGGACACGACTATCATTCACGTCGTCATCTACATTAGCCCCAAAAAAAGTCATCGAAAACATACTATTGTAAGCCCTAACATCCTTTAATTTTTTTTGACTTTCATACAGGGCAATAAACTGAGACTGAAACCTAGAAGGATACGGAAGAACAACACTACCGCCTGTACAATAATGGGTATACCTTGGGTGAGCAACTGTCAACATATTAAGAGCCCTCTCTACGTACCAGAAAAACGCACCGCAATATTCACACACCCAACTACAATCACCACTATCAATGTACTCAGGAAGAACCGAAAGCCCATCGAAACGCCGACACTTCCAACGACGACCGATCTGAACGGCAGAAAACGACGCCGCACCAGCGTCACGGCTCCGCTTGGAGGAATCGGACATGATATATATACACGACAACACAACAGAAGTAAAGACATCAATCGAAGCACAGAACAGGAAAAATAATAAGAAGCGAGTACAAATCTTACCTTACAGAGAGAAAGACGAAGGACGATGAAAGAGATCTTTCGGCAGAAAGAAACACATACAGAGATGAAATAAGATGAGCAAAGAAAGAGAAACATCAATAAATTGACACGGCCGTTCTACAAAACCAAGAAACAAGCAGCCATAAGCCACGTTTGACAACACTATGAAATATTTACAAATCAACCCCTGAAAATGAAACACAATGGCAACATAATAAGTAAAGGGACCAAACTTGAATAAATTGTCAACAGTTTACTGTTGAAATTTATCACAAGTTTAATATATATATATATATATATATATATATATATATATATATATATATATATATATATAAATGTATATAATATGTGCGGTGCGATTTTTTTTGTTGTTTTTGAAAACTAATAACCGCATCGCACCGTAAATTTACGGTTTTTGAAAAACAGAAAACTTCATCATCAGTTTTTATTGCGGTTTATGTGGTTTTTAGGGTTAATTTTAATTGCAGTGTGGTTTTTACTCACCCTAATAGCTGGTATTTTCCTTTTCATTTAAGGGGAGAATCATGTACACGTTGACATTTTACTATATGTACCTTGCATGAAACTGCTAGGGATGAAAAGTTAAAGACGTGAAAGTACAAGGGGGTAAAGTGAAACTGCTAACCTGCGAATATCAAAAGAAATTGCGAGAGATGGGTTTAGTAGAACCCTAGCAGGCTACAGATACAAAGTGTAGACGGTGAAGATCTGAGAAGAAGAACCGTCGAATCCATCTCATGGCGGTTTCAATCAGGCGTGTAATCATATCCTGTCGCAACATCTATCCTTTGATCGGAACATCTCGCCCGGTTTCTCACTTTGCAGCTTCTTCATATTTCTTGAGAGCTGCCTGTGATCTGCGTCCAGACCTTTCCAGTTCGCCGGCGATTGGTTTTCTATTCGAATCCCGCAGATCATTTGCTAAAGCACGGAAGAAATGTAATTCTCTATCTTTTTCTTCTAATCTATCTTGAATATGGAAAGCCCCTAACACGCATTTAAACAGAAGCTGGGGTAAGATGGATTATTGTTTTAAATGAATACGTGTTTAAGGTAAAATTCACACTGTTCAATGAAACGATCCTTTCACTGTTTAAACGAACGGAGTGGTCTCACTGAATTTCCCCCTTTCTATTTATGAATTACATCGCGATAAAGAACTGAGTACAATTGAACTCTAGAGTTGCTTTATATTTCCAGTCTATGCATGAAAATCCGACATTACCCCAACAGAACGATCACTTAACAAAGCTTTCAGGGGATGACGATGACAACGATGAACTTGGTGTTGCTAATGGTGATGCTGGCAGCAGAATTGAAATTGTGAATATTGGGCCAATTATTAAGTCAACCGCTATCTCTGAGATGGAGGCAGCAATTGATGCAGTATCAAATGAACTCAGCAAATTGCGCACAGGAAGGGCATCGGCAGGTGCTTATAGTTTCTTGATTTTGCTAAAAGCTTGTTCCTGATTACTCTATTTATCTTTCCTTATTTTTCCAATTTGTGTGTAGGAATGCTTGACCATATCATAGTAGAAACTGGTGGTGTGAAGATGCCTTTGAATCGGATGGCTGTTGTTTCAGTTTTAGACCCTAAAACTCTGTCAGTTACTCCATATAATCCAAATGTAATAGTTTCTATCCCTACCTAATCTGCATTTGCAGGATGTAGTTGCCAATATCCGATATTATGAACAATTAGACTGTGAAAGACAACTTAAATTCAGTGAATGCATTGTATTCTGACAGTGCACTTAAATTATCCAGGCCCTGAAAGAACTAGAGAAAGCCATTGTTTCTTCACCATTGGGTTTGAACCCTAAGCCAGATGGTGAACGCCTGATTACAGCTATTCCTCCGTAAGACACTAAAATCTCAGCTCAAAATTTTTTACTTATGTTGTATCTTGGCTACTAATAAAGTATATTTTGTATTTTTTCATCTTTGCAATAAGCAGCATGACCAAAGAGCATATGCAGGTGAGATTATTTCCTGTATTTTAAAAACCGATTTAGCAATTTATGTGACATTAATGTTTATGACTTACTCCAGGCTGTGTGCAAAGTGGTAGCAAAGTCTTGTGAAGATGCCAAACAAAGAGTTAGAAGAGCTCGCCAAAAGGTATAGGAAAATGTTGTATCTTGGTTATTACAATGTATCCTTTTGTGCCGAATATATTAAAAAAAAATATATGATAATACTTGTTTTACAGGCTTTTGACTCGATAAAGAAATCACTGCCTAAAAAATCAGAAGGGAAAAATAAAGGGAAAGATAAGGAGAATATTAAAGCGAAAACGGTTTCAGGGTTCTCAACAGATGATGCAAAACGATTGGAAAAAGAAGTAACACTAAATAAATACATTTACTCTAATTAAATATATTGGTTGATTTTTTGTTCATGTTTTCAGGTTGAAGAGTTGACTAAAAAGTTTACCAAGTCGGCTGAAGATATATGCAAAGCTAAGGAAAAGGAAAGCTGAGAAACACACTTTTGAGGAAATTCCCACATAATTTAAGGATGGAAGCATAAATTTAGGGTGTTCAATGCAAAGGATAGTTTTGGACTTTTTTTGTATATGTTACACATCTTCATTTGTGCTATACTATTGGATATTTGGTGTGTCGAAGGGTTTGAGAGCATTATATAACATGTACGTGCTACGAATAAACAAAAGGTGTAGAAGAATGAAAACTGAAAAAACAAACACAAAGGAATAAGGTAAAATGTAAAATACTTGTATGGTCAAATATGTAATAAAAGAATATATGGAAAAATAAAAAGACAAACTTTTAATAAAAAAAAAAAAAAACAATGTTTTGAGGCTTGACCGAATAGAAAGTCTTATTAAGCAAACAAGTCAACTAACATGTCGGTTTAAGCGTTGTGCACAAAATTAATAAATAAAATGCATGTAAATTTTACAAATTTTTATTTTTGGGATAAATGCAACAAGCAGATGGGTACGATAAGTACATGATAATTTAGCCCATTACAAAGAAGCCCACACGTCTAAAACAAACAGAAGCAGTACAGGCTTACAGGAAAATTTAGTCCATTAGAAAACTGACTCGCAGTCGCACACAGTTGAAGTGGAGTGGATTGCACGCAATTACTTTACTCGCGACCCGAGCCGAGAAAAACATCTACTGTACTAACCCGATTGATTATCAGAATACCAGGCGAGTTTACCCACAGACACAGAGACACCAACCAACAACAATGGCTTCACCCACCACAGATGAAAAGCAAAGTTAGGGTTCTTGTAATTGCATTTTAATACCGATTTTCGACTTGTATACGCATTTGCAAGTATAATTGAGAAAACAGTTGGATATATATAATTAACCATGTGGTTTTGTATTTTGTAACAGGTCCTGCTAAGAGAGTTGCCGTTGTTGGTGCCGGTGTCAGGTATGATAATTTATACTGAATGTAGAAAATTCTGTTGCTCATTTACTATATTAAGTAATTCTGTTGATGTTTCTACTGAATTTCAATATCTTTATCGGTGTAATAATCTGTTTAAGAAACCAAAAGCATTAGTGAAATTCGCATCGTAACATGAACTAATTAGTTTATGTTTTTCAGTGGGCTTGCTGCTGCCTATAAGTTAAAGGTACACGGATTGAATGTGACTGTATTTGAAGCTGATGGGAGAGCAGGAGGGAAACTAAGAAGCATTTCACAAGATGGTTTGATTTGGGATGAGGGTGCCAATACTATGGTATGTATCTCTTACTACTGCAATATTTGTATCAATCTTAGCAATTGGTGATGCTTACCTTACATTTTACCTCATATCATACAGACTGAAAGTGAGGCAGATGTCAGCAGTTTGCTTGATGATCTTGGGCTTCGAGATAAACAACAGTTTGTAAGTGAATATATATAGTAGCTGTCATACTTGTCTGTTATAATGACTATTTCCATTTTATACCTTGATTGAGGTCATGTGTGTATATATATTCTGAGTCCTACTCCTTCCATATGTTTCCTATTGCAGCCACTTTCACAGCACAAGCGTTATATTGTAAGAAATGGACAACCTGTACTGGTATGAATCATGAAATGTGAATGTCTCCAAACCTGTACTTGATTTCATATCCTTTATTTGTGACTATAACTCATGATTGATTGCAGATACCTTCTAACCCAATTGCACTAATCCAAAGCAGTTTTCTTTCCACTCAATCAAAGGTGCGTTAGTCGCATGTCAGATCTTGTTCTGGTCCTACATTCTCATATTATCTTCTTAATGATGCACAATTAATGATTCAAGACAACTCTTTATATATCCTATTTATTGATTCGTGTCAGAAGTTGAAGATTTATGATGACAAAGTTTATTGGGTTTGTTGCAGTTCCAAATTCTTCTAGAGCCAATTTTGTGGAAGAAAAATACATCCGACCCTCAAGAAAGGTAATATATATATATATATATATATATATATATACACACACATACATACATACATACATACATACATACATACATACATTTCATCCGCTTCAAGCGGTTATATTAATCATAAATGAGCCTTTTAAGTTGTTAAACATGTCCTTTTGCAGTGTTGCAGGATTCTTTCAGCGACATTTTGGGAAGGAGGTATTTGTATACATACATTTCTGTTTTAATTGTTTAAAAGATTCTTATTGTTTTTGTTATGAACTGATTTGTAATAACAGATTCAATAACATAAAAAACCACCCAAATGATTCTAATATTGATTGGAGACACTCTATAATACCCAAAAGATTACAAGAACTAAAGATAGGTTAGCTGATTCCGTGATAGCTACTCTCCAAGAGGAAATAATTCCAGATTTCACAGAAAGGATTGATGGATCCCTCACTCTCCCTATCCACTACCCTCTTATACTATCTGACATAACAAACTAATAATATAAAATACCCAAAATACCCCTAATTCTCCTTGCACTAGTAAGATGATCTTTATTTGTTAATTTCCCAAACTACCCCTATCTATAATAACATGATGTATTGGATGCATAACAGTTTTCTCTTTCTCTTATAGTTATTAATGTTTAATAATGTAAGGTTGTTGAGTATCTGATTGACCCTGTTGTAGCGGGAACAAGTGCTGCAGATCCCGAATCACTTTCTGTGAGTAACTATATCCCTATTGCTGTAAAGTTTTTGAGGAAATACATATATACATATCTAGTTTTGACATAAAACCACATTCCCTTGTCCACACAGATGCGTCATGCATTTCCTGAGCTATGGGAACTAGAGAAAAAGTATGTTTCTTTCTTTTTTTCTTCCAAGACTATCTATCTATCTATCTATCTATCTATCATCAGTTGAATGAATGAATACTGATGTTGATGACACTTAGGTTTGGTTCCATCATTTCTGGAGCTGTTCAATCCATGTTCACTTCCAGAAGTGGGAAAAAGAGTCCTCCTTCAAACAGCAAGGGTAGGCGTGCACGTGCTTCTTTTTCATTTTTGGGGGGAATGCAGGTGAGATGGAATGCAGTTGGTTGAATCTATCAGTGAGACATCTGCTTGGTAATTTATTTTGGTTTCTTGATTCATTCTTACACAGACACTCACGAATGCACTGTGTAAAGAGGTTGGAGAAGGTGAGCTTAATCTCCAATCCAAAGTGCTTGAAATGTCGTATAGCTGTGATGATGGGTCAAGAGTTGGGAACTGGTCAATTTATTGTGGTCCAGATGAAGAAAACAAACACCAATCTTTTGATGCTGTAATCATGACAGTGAGTAAACAGTCGATTTATTGGTTATTAAGTTGTAGGTAGGTGACTGCAGATTTAGAACATGTTTATGAAATTAGGCTCCACTTGGCAATGTGAAAGAAATGAAGATTACAAAAAGAGGGAATCCTTTTCTGCTCAATTTCATACCAGAGGTATGTAATATGTGAAAGAAATGGATTTTTTTTTTTTTTTTTTTTTTAGCAGAAAGTGTTGAGATTTTTTAAATAAAAAACCAGGTGAGTTATATGCCAGTTTCGGTCGTAATTTCGACGTTCAAAAAGGAGAACGTGAAGCGGGCAGTTGAAGGATTTGGAGTTCTTGTTCCTGGCAAGGAGCAGGAAAATGGGTTAAAGACATTAGGTAACTAAAGATTAAATGATAATTCTTATTATTATATAAAATAATAAATAAAAAATGTGTGCAGGCACTCTTTTTTGTTCCATGATGTTTCCAGATCGTGCCCCTCAGGACTTGTATCTTTATACCACTTTTGTTGGAGGGAGTCGAAATCCACAACTGGCCAAAGCCTCCAGGTATTTTAATAAAAACTGTTTGAATGTTTGTTAAATATGATGCACATAAGCCATATCCAGTAATATTGGTATTGGATGAGATGTATATATATATTGATTTTGTGTGTACTGTACTGCAATGATAGGGATGAGCTGAAGCAGATAGTAACTTCCGACCTCAGACAGTTGCTTGGTGCAGAGGGAGAGCCAAATTTTTTGACGTATGTATGTTTTATTATTATTACTTATTGTTGTTTTAACATTAACATGTAGGGTTTTTGTACACCTACACCTACACCTACACCAATTTATGATGAGTTTTTTTTTTTTTTTATTCCTTTGAACCTGTGTTTATGATACGTGAGTGGAATTGCAATGCAGACACTATTACTGGAGCAAGGCATTTCCGCTGTATGGGCACAACTATGGTTTGGTTATAGATGCAATTCAGAAGATGGAAAAAGAGCTACCTGGATACTTTTATGCAGGTAACTTTGTTATTTATCATTACATATTTTAAATATATTACTAATAATAATATAAAAGAAAGTGGGTTGGTTGAAATGTTGAATGCGACTGACTAACAGGTAACCACAAAGGAGGGATCTCTGTTGGGAAAGCCATATCATCTGGATGCAAAGCGGCTGAATCCGTGATTTCATATTTGGATTCTTATTCAGTTGACAGTTAAGATAGAGGCTGTATTAATTATTAACCACTCCACCTTTAAAAACTAATTAATTATTAATTACAATTTACAAACAACGCCTTCACTTTCACTTTTCATTCACAAGTCAACATTATGAATTATGATTGTCCTGTCCCGGAAAGATAAAGCCCCATATTGTCTCCAAATCTATATCGCTATATATCAAAACCCAAAGTTTTCCGTTACAAGGATCAGCTTTTTCTTTTTCTTTTCCTTTTTCTCCTTTTGTCTTTGTTTTTCTTTTTGGATGATATTTCTATGATCAATAATATATCATTGAAAACAATTCGTTACACTGAGATTCAACCTAAATACACAACAAACTCCAGTTGCTAATCTTCTTGTATTGCAAAACTAATTTTTTTAAAACTATATTCATAGTATTTTATTCAGATTTTTTAGAATTACGCTTATATAATCAATCATTTAATTATTTAAACTTATTTTACTAAAAAAAATCTTGCTTTTGCTTTGGTTATTGAGTAATATACAAAAAACTACTCCCGAATCTAATATGTGATTGACTGATATTGGATAAGTTTGTACCTAGTTTAGAGCCCATGAGAGCTGAAACTATAATTAGAATATTTTATTAGAATTAAAATATTCCCAACTGAAGATAATAAGTTTTATGAGGTAGATGGAAGTAGTAATTAAGTTATTAGGCATAAGGAAAAATCACATCACATAATAAACGATACGACACATATCTTAGTCCCTATACGAAATTATGAAGTCTATCGTTACTAAAATCTTTTTAATTTACATGTCATGTTTAGTTTCATTTCTTTTAAGTTTTAAGCGTTGGTCGTTTACGTACTTTGTTTTTTTTTTTTTTTTGTTACTTGTTGGTCTACATATCGTATAAGTGGTTTTGTATCTTTGAAAACAAACATGTAATCATACAATATTGAATATTAGATGGATTCACCATATTCCATTTTTGTGAAGACGATTCACCACCCAATACAACCAAAAGACAATTTTTTCAAGATAAAGACAAGAAGGAGCATGCAAGGAAGTGAAATGTGTTTTTGGAGTTCTAAAGTCGAAATAACACATAGTTGAACATGCGGCACGATCTTATCGGTTAAAACTCTACGATATATTATGTATGCATGTATCATAATACATAACATGAAGATTGAAGATAAATGACGAAATATTGCGAAGTATTTAGCTATAGATTCTAGATACGTGCAATTTCAATCAGAGACAATTGAATATTTACATAGTCGTTGATATTCAAGACGCATGAAAACGGAATTAACTTCGAGAAGACTTGACAGATTTAGGGAAAAAATGTATTTTTATTTATTTTTAAATGTTATTTATTTTTTGTCTTAAAATCAGGACTATCGTATTTTTTTCTCGCGTAATGTTGGTTTTAGTTTTTAAATGTTATGTTTATTTTAAGATTTATTTAAATAACATGTTTTATTATATTATATTTATTTTTATAATTAGTAAAAAAATCAAAAAAAAGAAATAAATAAGAAATGAATTGAAAATAAAATAGAAAAAAAATAAAACTGATGACATGGAAAATAATAATTATTTTAACATGTTGCCTATTATAAATAAATAACATGAAATATGAGTGACATTTTTTTTGATATGATAACACCCGTAACACGTTAACTTATGTATTCATCAAGATAATAATATACGGATATTAAGGGACAAAACAAAATAAAGAAGAGGGTATACCCTATACTATAGGACTATAATCAATTCATGTATGAGTTATTGAAGTTGTTGTGTGCGGGTCACCCATACTTAAAGCTAATATCACTCTAGTCCTTTGGAATTCAATAAGGGTCCCCTACCCTACATACAAAACTTTTAACATAATGGAGTACTTTTCCAACCATTTCTCATTTTGTAAAGTAAATTTGTTATCGATCTTTCTTATTATATTTGTAATTTAGTTAAATCAGAACTAAAAATACTCTACTTATTTTGAGATGAATAAGGGATATCTATTTACTTGTCACGTTAAAAGTAAAATAAGTGATTATTTATAAAATAATGACAAGTGTGACAAATAGGAGAAAAATCATGCAAGCTTCAAATAGGTCACGATAATGGATGCTATTATGATATACAGTTTGTAAAATCTATAAGAAAACTATCTTTTGTATATAAAAAGGTTAACGCGAATAGTAACAATATTCATTCATATAATTATATATAATAGCATTTTTTTATTGCAACCTTATAATAAAAATTATTTTTTATTAAACTATTATACTTTATGACACTCTATTTTTACTTTTTATCGTAACATGAAAAAAGTAAAAATATAATGTTATAATTAACATATCAATAAAAAGATCTAATACTTCTTGTATACTCTATATACAGAAACTAACATTTATATACATAATTACGCATAGATTATTTGTAGCGGATAATGAACAAAATCCTCATAACTATATCCAATGAAACGTGTCACTTGAGACAGGAACAAAAAACACAATGATTGTGCATATCGAGTTTCGTATCTGTCTTGAAACAAAACCAGCCTCTTATTCTTAAATCAAATCAGGATCCGAATGCTGTCGTCACTCGACCACACCCGACCCCCACAAATACAATCCTTTCTTTCTCTTCTTCTTCTTCTTCTTCTTCTACTTCTTCAATGGCAGCAGCTTTCCACTGAATGCTTTTGCAGTTTCTTCTTCTTCTTTGTGTTCGTTCAACTACCCCCATTACTCATCTCTCTTTCTCTCTCTCTCTCTCTCTCTCTCTCTCTCTCTCTTGCTTTTATTTCCAACACCCATTTCTCCCTTTTTCTTTTACTCACTAAAGGACCCTTCAACACCTTGCATTCAACAAAACTTTATCACCCTTTCATTTCTTTCTTTCTTTACACGTTTTGCATAATTCATGCTTAATGCTTTGTGTTGGGTATGTATTTAGTTACCCCCATTTCTTAGGCTAATTATGATCCATTTTCAAGATTCTTGAAGGTGTTTTTGAATTCTTTTATGAAACGGGTCACTACATTTTGATTCAGTTTCAGGATTCTTGAATTCCTTTAAGAAATTAATATGTTGTTCCGCTTCTTTCACATAATCTTCATTTCATGGGGTCTCATGACCTCAAACACCCACGCATTAGAAGCCACTCAATTTCAACTTCTTCTTCAGCTAAGAAAGCATTTGGAGTACCCAATTCAGTTAAACAATTGGGAAAATTACACTGGTGATTTTTGTTACTTTCCTTCAACTCTTCATGTCACCATCAGATGTGAAAACAACTCTCTTACCCAGATCAAAATCATGGGAGATAAAGATAAGCTTTCAAATGTCACTCTCTTTCATGGGTTTGCAATTCAAAATCAAACATTATCCGACTCTTTCTCCATTGATTCTTTTGTTGTTACATTAGGTAGATTATCGACATTGAAGGTTCTTAGCTTAGTATCCTTGGGAATTTGGGGAAGACTTTCTGATAAAATCCATCGACTCCATTCACTTGAAGTCTTGGATATGAGCTCAAATTTTTTGTTTGGTTCTGTCCCAAATGAGATTTCAAGATTACAAAAGCTTCATACTTTAACATTAGATGGAAATTTCTTCAATGAATCTATCCCTGACTGGTTCCATTCCTTATCAAATCTTACCATTTTGAGCTTAAAGAACAACAAATTAACGGGTCGTTTTCCTTCTTCAATTACCAAGATCACAACAATTACAGATTTGTCTCTTTCACACAATCAACTTTCTGGTAAATTACCCGATTTAACTACTTCATCTAATCTACGTTTACTAGATTTGAGGGAAAATCATCTAGATTCTGAACTCCCATTGTTGCCTAAAGGAGTGATTACAGTTCTTCTAAGCAATAACTCGTTTTCGGGTAACATTCCTGCGGAATTTGGAAAACTTAACCACCTTCATCATCTCGACCTGTCATCCAACTCACTGATCGGAACACCCCCATCTGCTGTGTTCGTTTTGCCAAACATCACCTATCTCAATCTAGCATCCAATAAGCTAAGTGGGTCTCTTCCGAATTCAATCAACTGTGGAAACAAATTAGGGTTTGTTGATATTTCTAGCAATAGGTTTACGGGTAAACTTCCTTCTTGTTTGGACACACTATCTAGTAATAAGCGAGTTGTGAATTTCACTGGGAATTGCTTGCTTGTGGGCAATGGAAACCTAGAATCTGATTGCAAAAGACACATGACAAAGAAACCATATTGGGGTAAAGTTTTATGGATTTTAATTGTTGTCATTTGTTCGGTGATCTGCTTGGTATCATTCGGGATCGTGCTCATAATCTTTCGCAAAAGATATCATTCAAGACAGACAGTCACGCTACACCACACGATATCAAAAGAAACCGAAGACATCGCGCCAACAGGGATCATATCCGAAGTTGGGACACAAGTCGCTCCTTCATGTCGAGTCTTTTCCATGGAAGAATTAGCAGAGGCTACAGAAAACTTTGATCAATCGGCATTTATGGGTGAAGGGTCTATCGGAAAGGTATGTTTTTTAGGCTTTGTTTCGTTTCATGTATACCCATCAACTAACGATTAAATTAATTGACTCTTTTACAGCTTTACAGGGGAAGGTTAGAAAATGGAGGCTATGTTGCTATACGATCGCTATCATTATTCAAAAGATCTTCAATTCGGAACTTGAAAGTCCGATTGGATTTGCTTTCAAAGCTTCGACACCCACATTTAGTTAGCTTCTTGGGGTATTGCATTCACGATGGTGGAGTAGAAGATTCGAATTCTAGCAGAATCTTCCTGGTGTACGAGTACATTCCTAATGGAAACTTCCGAGCTTTTCTCTCAGGTAAAGGTAAAAGGTTGGTAATTACTAATTCTCAAATCATCAAAATAACTTGATTTAATCCTGCAGAAAATGGTCCAGAAAGAGTCCTGAAATGGCCAGATCGATTAGCAGTTCTTATAGGTGTGGCGAAAGCTGTACACTTTCTGCATACAGGAGTGATCCCTGCTTCTTCAAGTAATCGTCTGAAGACAAACAACATATTGCTTGATGATTATCAGATTGCAAAGCTGAGTGACTATGGAATGTCAGTCATCACTGGAGAGCTAGAACAGTTTGAGGTGTGTATCATCTTTCAAAATCTCGTGTTACCAGATTTGTGTTCTAAACTAAATTAAATTTTGTGATATAGGCAAAGGGAGGAGATGGACCCAAATCATGGTAACCAACTTTTCTAAAGATTTCTCTTTTTGATTGGTTTTACACAAATATAAAAAATATAATATATCAAGTTGGGTTGTGTTGTGTTTGTTGCAGGCGTTTAAAGAAGTTGGCAGACGATGTATATGATTTTGGTTTCATTCTACTTGAAGCGCTTGTTGGGCCTATAGTAAGCGGAAAAGGGGAAGCATTTTTGCTAAATGAAATGGTACAGTCATATATATATATATATATATATATATATATATATATATATATATATATATATATATATATATATATATATATATATATATATATATATATATATATATATATATTATAGTGTGACTCTGTGATGATTTGATGTAATTTGTGAAGAAATTGTTTGTTGAATTTTGAACAGAAATCATTTGGAAGCCAGGATGGAAGGCAGAGGATTGTGGATCCGATGGTGTTAACAACATGCTCTCAGGAGTCTTTATCGATTGTGATATCCATCACAAACAAGTGCATATCACCAGAACCAACAAACAGGCCGTCATTTGAGGATGTGTTGTGGAACTTGCAGTATGCAGCTCAAGTACAGTCAACGGCTGATCTTGACCAGAAATCAGAAGGTGCATCACAGTGTTGATTGTTTTTACCAGCATCTGCATCTGCATCTGCGTTTTGTTGTAAAATCAGAAACACGATTGATTTTTGATCAAGAAGAAGAAATAGGAGACCCAAACTTGAAGTATTTATTTTATACTAAGCTAGAGCCCTGCTAATTTACCTTAAGAAATTTAATTACTGATTAAAAAGAATTTTTTAAGTCTTAACAACTAATTATCATAAAATCTGGTTTACAAATCAACATCCCCTCGAATTCCTATTTTCCACTTCAGCTTGATGAAGGCATCATCCTTCAATATTTAAGTGTAAAGGTTCCATGATTTATTTCTTATATAAAACCCACTATATGCATACAAGGATAACTATGGAAATATGCTAATCATAATCCTAACAAATATATAACAAGATTTCTAAGATCATGACCAATTAATTAGGCTATTAGTCCATTGCAGTCGAAGCGGGAGGATGTTGGATTAAAGACCGGGTCGAAAGTCTTTGAAAAGTGGGTGAACTTAATTTTTCTCATGCAAAACACTTTTATTTGAGCCAACTTGGTCATACAATAAGGACTAGTAATGCATGATATGATTAATCCCAAGACCGATATGTAACGTTATAAGTGTTAGGATGCAGTGCCATCAACCACAAAGTTATATAGACCGACAAGGACCAAACCAGACCAAGCTACTATGCAAAGTGGTTCACACAATTATGAAGGGAAATATGGTGCAATCCGCACCAGGCCTATCCTAATCCCATACGGTTAAACAATAAAGTTTGGTTTTTAAGTTTATTGTTGCATTATTAATGCCTTATTCGACTTGGATGAATTCCATACATACTACACCAGAAAGATCTCGGATAATCCATAAAACAACAGGGGACCAATTCCCAACCCAACCCTAGGGTTGTGACTTCTTTGCTACGTGTATGGGTCATGTGCTTTCAGTAGTACGGGCCTATACTACCTTCCACACCTACCCATATTTGTCTCAAGTATCACAACAACACCCTAACCATATACAAACATAGCAAGCACTCAATCCTCAATCCTAGAGGAATACTGAATATCTCATAACTGGCCTTCCGGCCTCTCACGACCCACCTATCCATGAAACTTCCACCAATCCTGCAACACTAGTGTATGCTAGTCATACATAACGTTGGACCCCATAGACTTTCGAATATCCAATCCTACCTTAAGCTCCCAATCAAACAAGAACAGAAAATAAGTCCAAATCCAACATTCTTACGCTATAAGATCTTAATTATGTATAAGTGTGATGCATACACAAGTAACTACAGTAATGATGTCAATTTCATATAAGGAAAACCCTAGGCTAGCAGGCATCATGTAATCCGACAATTCTATCATGTAATTCCTGAAGATCCCTAGCCTAGTACTAGCATGCTGTTCTAACATATCACATAATCGAAATAACTGCATGGTATTTTGGGGTCTACTTACTGGCTCTGGCTGATCGTACACTTTGCATCCTCCTTTCTTATTTTGAAAACCATTAAGATCATTTTGAAAACATTTTCCTTAGTTTAAGATTGGATTCACACGAGTGTTCCTCCAATTCACTCAAACCAATGCTCTGATACCAACTTGTAACATCCATAAAAATTCAATCCAATTTAAAACTTTTTAAATTTCCAAAATACCATTAATTATTACAAAGTGTATTCAAAATAGTTTAAGCATCAGAGTTCCCAGAAATCTCAATCATGAGTCGAGGAAGTGTACGGTCATGTCTTCACCTTCCCGCGGTTATCCGCTGAACCTGAAACAATAAACTGAAGTTGTAAACCCGAAAGCTTAGTGAGTTACCACCAAAATACCCATACACACAACAATAAACATATAATAACAAACAACATACTATGAGTCCAATCATCCATCGGGATAGGATACCTCATGCCGTCAACCATCGGGTTGGAATGCCCACATACTACGAGTCCAATCATCATCGGGATGGAATACTCTCGGCCCACAACCATCGGGCTGGAATGACCACACACACTACATATATAACAACTACTATGGGTCCAATCATCCATCGGGATGGAATACCCAGGCCCCTCAACCATCGGGATGGAATGCCAACATACTATGGGTCCAATCAACCATCGGGTTGGAATACCCCAGGCCCCTCAACCATCGGGTTGGAATACCAACATACTATGGGTCCCATCAACCATCAGGTTGGAATTCCAACATACTATAACCAATCAAACGTGTGCACCTATATCAGATAATCATATAACAATCTATAAGACAACATACTAGGGTCCTGTCATCCTTGGGATGGAATACCCTCAACTACATATCAATCATGTGCACATAGCAGGTAATCTCCTACCAGCATATAGACAGCCAGACCAACTATAGGTCACCAAGCATAACCACATCCGATCTACCAGGATACCAATCTAACAGATCATACTAGCATATAACCATCCTATCTACCAAAATACCGGGCTAACATATCACAATACTAACAATAACAATTAACAAATCAAAGGGCCGACCTTGGTGCCTTAGACCCTTGAGCATAGTGAGGATAACTCACTCGCAAGTAGTGCTGAAATACTGCAAATCTTTGGCTGTTGTCCTACCGGGAATCCCGAACTATCACATAAAAATAAATACTAGGTTAATACCCAATATTACTCCATTGGTTAAGTGTCCTCATAACTTATCAAGTCCATTCCTTTTTATTGGGCCAAGCCCATAACCTTGATAGACTTTATGCAAGGCCCAATTTACTAAATTGGGCCCAACTTCCTTATTGGGCTTAACCCCATGATCCACTATCACTAAAATCGCCCTAACACAATCTACTCAGAAAGTACAGCAAGGCCCAAACCTTCTGACCCAAAAAGTAGCCCACACCCAAGGCCCAAATCACTAAAAGTCCATAGAAGACATATGTTGGGCGTATGCGAGTCTCGCTTTGACTGGAAGACGGGTCATTGACTTAGTACGCTAGGTGTACAGAACCTTACGTTGGGCATAAGTAGGGTTTCACCAAAACCTTAATAAGTGCTTAATGGCTTAAGCACTTAAGCCCGAACTCCAGATCCAATGACCAAATGTGCCTAGGACTCATAAAGTCTAGAACTTTATCACTTTGGACGTATAGAAAGCTCTTAATACAAGGTCTTAATCCATTAAGACCCTTCTACATTATGCATGGGACATCTTAAGCCATTGGGACCTCATTTTTATCACTTGAGACCTCTTCAAGGTCCAGAAAGGACAACTTATCTCGTCCAAAAATGCATCATGCACCATATTGGGCTTTTTAGGACAAGAAAGTGTTCCATAATGCTAGAAAGGCTAGATCTATGACCTACACGCATAAAGTTTGAAGCTTTTTACCTCCTGGAGCTTCTAGGGCACAACACAATCTCAGATCTACAAGATAATCTCCTTCACCAACAATTTGTTGCAATGGCTTCACCTTCAAGAGCTCAAAATACCCACCAACTCACTCTCACACACAAGAACTAGGGTTTGAGGACGTTTCTAGAAGATGGAGGCTGAGAAGGAGGATAGAAAATGAGCCATAAGGATGTTTATATAGCCCCCAACCCATGATATTAGGGTTTTCATCCTTTATGAGTACGCCCAGCGTACATAAGTGTACACCTAACGTACTAGGGCGCACCCTAGTACGCTCAACGTACCCTTATGTATGTGCATCGTACTCCTCCTGGTCCCAAAATTACAATTTAGCCCTTAGGCTCTTCATGGCTTTACCCTTCCATCCCCAGGGACTTCAAATGACAAAACTTGGGATGTTACAAAATATAGAGAAGCTGAGACTTGTAGAAACAACTAGAACACCAGGTCCTACAAAAACATCTAGCTCCATAGAAAATCATGATGAAGAACATTCAGATAACACAAGGGAAAAGCAAACCAAAGCTCCACCGAAAAGATTTGATGACTTTGTTGTAAAGCTGCCTCCCTCGATAGACCATGCACGTCCTACTAGCCATCAAGCTTCTTCGACGGTACACTCACTTCCTAATTATATTTCTTATGATAAGTTCACTAACATTCACTAATCCTTTCTTGCTACCATCAGCTCAAATGATGAACCAAAGTCCTTTAAACAGGGCAATGGGCTATTCAAAAAGAAAATTGGATAACAACAATGAAAAATAAGATTAAAGCACTTGAAGACAATGGTACATGGACCCTTGAAAAGTTGTCAAAAGAAAAACGTGTCATTGGATCAAAGCGGGTATATAAGATAAAATATAAGCCAAATAGTAAAATCGAAAGGTACAAAGTGTGACTTGCCGCAAAGGTTTTTACGCATATGAAAGGTGTTAATTATCATGACATGTTTAAACCGGTTGTAAATTTGGTAACCGTTAGAGCCTTGCTCACTAATACCACTGCTACAAAGAAAGATTGTATTGTACACCAACTGGATATCAACAATGCGTTTCTTTATGGAGACCTTCAGGAAGAGGTTGCAACGCCTGTGTTTTCGGGCTTGTCATTAATGTTGATATAATAGTCTAGGTTAACCTTTGTAACCTGTTTTGAATTAATAGAAGTGTATTATTTGAGTATTATGTGTTTTGTGCTTAACTATGTGACTTAATTGAATTAAGAATACAAATAAGCATCAAAATGAAATGTTATATAAGCTCGATATCTATGGATAATGTTGTATTAGTTGAAATGAGGTTTCCGAATATATAAAGAACGCCGAAATCCGAGTTATAACGAAGAAGTTATGACCTGTCGAAGTTTCGCGACAGAACCAGCAACGCTGAACGACGTAAAAAGTGAAATTTACGTTGGAGCGATATTTAGCCTTAGTAATCTAAACGAAAGTCGTAGAGTTTGTTAAACTGAGCGCGTTCATAAAAAGAACGCCCAAATCTGACTTCGTATGAGGAAGTTATGATTTTCTGAAGTTTCGACTTAGCAGCATGCAGCCCGAATACTCGATTCGAGATCGAGTGATTGTCGGTTGAAACAATCTAAACGAGAATCAAAGATCTCGTTGATAGTAGCGCACTGGTGAAAATACAGACAAAAACGAACGTCAGATAAAGAAGTTATGATTTTATAACGGAGTTTTCCTGTCCCGACCTACTAAAAATAAATAATAAAAATAAGTTCAAAATTTGCCGACGGAGTCTAAACGAAAGTTGTAGAGCGTAGTCTCACCAACGTGTGGATATAAAGAACGTCAAAAACGGAGTTCATATGAAGAAGATATGAATTTTCGAATTTTATTAAATAATTAAAATTAAAATTTAATTATTAAATCCGACATTATCCGAAGGGTAGTCACCGGACTTATCCGG